GGGTAGTAACAGTTAATGAATTAAAATGGGGGTGGGGAGTTTGCTGGGATTACTGGCTATCACAGCCCCCTCTACTACCCCCTCAGCAGCACCTCTGCTTTTGGATCAGCCCAAGTGATAGACTGACCCCTGGCAGCCAGCTCTGCTTGCTGCATGCCTGGTCTTGTGACCTGGCAGCAAAATTTCCTAAGGCTTTGCTTTAAAGGAAGATATTTTCTTTTGGGTCACTCCATGTAGACCATGCACAATCAGATGAAGTGCCCCACCTGACAGTGCATGGAATTGCAGAACAGAAATCAAATACCTAGCAAAGGAAAAAATGGAAAGATAAGATTCTAACAAATTGGTCTGAAGTAATTAAAGGGAAACAGTAGATTTACAGAACAGGTGAAATGGCATATTTTTAATTCTGTTGAGCTATTTAAAATAATAACTGCAGAGATATTGGAAAAAATTAATTGGGTAACTTAAGTGATAATCTGTAAAGCTGGTTAACCGGGTTCAAATATATCACAAATGTGTTTGTTCTTAATCACGTTTTTAATAACATGGAAAACTGGAAGACTACTAGAAAAACATTCAATTTCAACTGTAAAAATACATTTTTCATCTAATTGAAACATGTGACCAGTGGATTTGAAGAAGTGTGTGTATGATAAGTACAGTGAGATTCCTAAACCCCTTGCAAAATGTCAGACTTATATGTTGATTGACTAACTTTATTTCATTATAAAGATATCACAGACTTAGGAATAAAAATAAGTGTTTTCTCTGTGATATTCTGAAGTTTGAGTTTTTTATCTTGGCAGTTCAAAATGAAAATCAGTTGTATCATGAAATGCTTTTGTGCCAGTGATTGGCAAAACTGAACTAGAACACTGAAATGAAACTTTATAGTGCCAGCTCTGACTGCTAATTCATGTTTCAATACATCTGAAATGATTTCTGAAGAAACCCTCTGAGCAGCACTGTGTTCCTATCAAGTAAAGTGATCATGTTGCCTTTTTGTAGCCCCTGCTGATAAGGGTCTTCATAACACACTGAGTTGATGATAGGTGCAAAATACACCTCAGCCCGAGTTGGGACAGGCAAAAGATGTGTTCTGTACTTCAGGCTGGAAATTAACCTCATGTTTGAGACTGTATCCATGTAAGGGGCTAGTCTGACTTGGATCAGAGCATGGTAGAGATTTCTGTTTATTACCTGAATATTGTAATGTATTAATAAAGGAAAGCTAGTCAATTTATCATACTGAAGCGAAAAGCTGAGTTTGAAATGAGATGGAATAGTAATTTTTCTCTTAACAGAATCTTTACAGTTGAAGGACAGGTCTCCAGTGAAAAGACCTGGAGAAAAGTAAGAACAACTTTCTAGGAAGAATTCCGAACATAATTAACAAGGTTTATAAACTATAGAATGTCTCAGCTGCAAATTGAAAGTGTGCCTGACTTTAAGCTAGCTAAAAATGAGTAGCAACAATGGCAGTAGAGATTAGTAACCTGGGCAGAAGCCAGTATGATTTCAAGCTGAAGGTTTTCCGTGTTAGGCTACTTGCATGCTACCTGTACTGCCATACTTTCACTGCTGTTATCTGTGCTAGTAAAAGTAGAGCTAGCATAGCAATGTCATGGTACAGTAGTTGTCATTGTAAAATAGCATCTTTGTTTAGACATACCATCAGAATACACTGGAATTGTGCTGCAGGCCATTCAGTCTTCTGAACAGAATGTTGTATTTTAGTCCAGCTGTTTTACATAACTTCTGTTCCTGTGCAACCTAAAAAAAAAAAAAAGGAAAATTTTGAAATAAAGGGTGTTAATAGCTGTTTCTTTTCTCTTTAGTGAAGCACATTTTTCAACATTTTCGGCAAAATATTAAGATGATGATATCCTTAAAATCAGATTTATCTAACAATGTCAGTGCTGTAGGCTAGATGTATATTTTTGGGAGAGACTAAAGGACTAGTAGGTGTAGCTGTGTGTGTATATACACACACCTTTCAAGGAGATACAGATACATGTGTTTAGGTTTATACAGATTCTTTTACTTATTGTAACATCTATTGCATTGTTAATGAAAAGGGTGAGAATAACTGTCTAGGCTTGAATTGCTAGATCAGTTGTGTACCTTCAGGTTTCTCTGTTCCTTTCCCATCTTTTAGGCCATTTAATTATTTCCAACTCCGTAAATTCTATGTGGATATTGTTCAACGTGTATGTTCTTTCCCTCCTCCCCCCGAAGTGCCTTGTGTAGTTACGGCTGATCAATGATGGCAGGTGCCATCTTAATGACAGAGTCCATAGCCTTCCTCCTTCTTTACTAGTAGCGCACAGTCTGTCCATAGAAGGCTGTAGACAAAAAGCTTACATAGACAGGTTGTTCCTTGTAAATGAAATTGACTTCAAAATTCCTGTAAATAGAGCACGCTTGATTATCCAAACTGCATTTTAAATGCATTTAACCTAGGTGTCTTTCATAGTTTTCTTGAAATTGTAATAGACTGTGTGAGATGCACAGTGGTATGTATATTTCTAAACTGAAAATTTCCTTTTCCCTTCTTTCTAGCCATTTCAGTCAAGGCAGAAGCATCTGACTTTGGAGGAACTGTTTGGAACCTCTGTACCAAAGGAACAGCTTGCAGCTCCGTATCCCAATCCAGAGAAAATGGAGAAGTTGCAGACTGACACCTCTGCCAGAGAGCAGCATAATTTGCTCTTGCCTTTTTCCTTTGACCAGTCAACAGTAATACAACAGCCACTAGGGAAATCTGAAAGTCCAAGTGTTAAAAGCAGTGCCAATCCTTTGAATCACCAGGAATGTATAACACCTATGCTAATACCTCCAGCTTCAGTTTCCCAGCCTGATATAAAAAATGTTTCAAGCTATTCAGTTCGTTTAAGCCCTATTCTTAATTCAGCCTCGACAATGGAAGCTGCCCCTGCTCAGATGCTTCCTGGCCTAAAACAAAACAACAGTATAATGCAAGTTATGCAGCAAGCTGCCAAGCAGATATCCCCACTAGTGAATCAGCCGCCATCTGAAGTGAACCATGCTCCACAAAATCTAATGGCTGGCCAAAGCCAGCTTATAGCACCCTTGACATCAACAAATACAGGAACTGTCTCAAATACATCCCATACAAGTGTTGATCTTCTCCAGAAACTCAGGTTGACCCCACAGCATGACCAAATGCAACAGCAGTCTCTGACTAAGACTTCCTTAACACCAAACATCTCTGCCTCGGTTGGCCAACTTGCAACACCAGAAAGCTTCAAAGAATCTCACAGTAAGCCATCAACCTTGAACAGCAAGATAATCTCTCCCCTTCAGGTATTCTGTGGATTTTTATATCCATGAAGCTTTAGACTGTTTTTAGACTACATGTATTTTCCCTTGGAAAATGTGCTGTTATATATTAGCCTTTTAAAAATAAATAAGGACTTCCACTGTGTGATATTGATCCTAACTGCTAACTTAGAAATCCAATTCCATTAGTTTTATATCATTAGCATCTGCTATCAGTGACAGACGTGTCTGTAGAGGAGGTTTTTCAATCTGGTGCTGTTAGGGGATGAATAAGTCCTAAAGAATTCATCTGTACTTCTGTCAGAAAAATACTGCTAAGAACTGATGATCTGAGAAGGGACAGAAGGTTACAGACTGATCAGTGTTACGAGAGTTGATGCTGCGGAAGTCTAGCCTGTACCTTCTTTGAAGGTACAAAATTAACAATTTCCCATTTCTGGTTATTTTGCTTTGGATGTTTTGTACTCCTTCAATTTTGACCCCCTTCTGCTGGGGATACCTGTGGGCTACATTGAGATAGTGTTAGTTATTTAGTAAAATGGATCGTAGACTGATTTATTTTGTCTAATTGACTGCCTTAGTTTCTTTTATCCTAGTATTGCTTACAAAGGGCCTCTTAAACTTTTTACTTCTTGGAGGAGAATCTATTGTCTATGCCTTAATATAAGCCAAAGCAGTACATTTGTTTTGAGATACTAGGTGAAAATGTTACTGCTAATCTGTAAGGTTAATGGCGTGGCTTTGTGTTATAAATTATTTTCTATCAATTAGTGTTGCTCTGCTGTATAGTTGGCTACCTCAGTAGTAAAGACATTAATGAGTTTGGGTTATTGGATTTCTTTTCTCTCCAAAGGGAGTAACTTTCTGTAGTGCCCACCTCTCAGGTTACCCGAAGGCTTCTCTTCGTTTTGTTGCATTGTTATTTTATTTACATTCATGCAGACTAAGCCAGTGTTTGATCATGTCTTCTTGCATCTTGGGTACAGTGATAATGCAAGGATAAAAAACACCAAAGAAAACTACTTACAGCTACATCTGCATGAATTTCCTAATGTTTATTATCATCCAGTGCTTGCCACTGGGTTTTAACAGTATCTTTGGTAGCCCTGTCTTGGTCAGCTGTTACTCTGTGCTATGAATATGGTGATGACTTACCCATAACTGAGATCTAATCAAAAGCTCAACTCTTCAGCGTGTAACTTGTCCTAAGCATTATTTTAGAATACCCTATATTTTTCAAGTGTTGCTTGAAAACACTCAGTCCTCAGTAGCATTATCACTGTCTTAAGGTTTAAGAAATTGGTGTGTTTTCATTGTGCTGTCTTTCTAATTACCTTATTTCTAATCTCCTGCTGTTGAAAACTTTCAAGAAGGCTGTGACTGCTATGTGCTAGGATTATTTTACTAGCGATCACCTTTTTGAGGTGTTTGGACTGATTCGTTTTGCAGAGGGAGGAGGAGGTCCAAGTACAGCATTGAGCAGCTGTCTTGATCTAGTATTGAAACTGTATGTTCTGAGCAGTATTTTTCTTCAGTGTACTGCTAAGCCTTGGTACAGATTTGACTGAAGATCGTGACATGTTTAAGCATTTAGAAAAACTGGCCGGGTTTATCCATAACTGCCCTTCACTGCATTTATTCAACATCTACTTGATAGCCTTGGGAATTAGCTCTTCATATGCCAGTCTTATGCGCTTTTTTTTTTCCTTCCACCATGTCCACTGTTTGTACATATTTTCATTAGACAAAATTCTCCATAGTCCAAATATACTCTCAAACTAGCAGAAGACTTCTTAAATCTTGTGTAATTTGACTTTAAGAATTTGATCTTGTGCTTGCTACCACTTCATAAAGCTAATTTTATTTTTGTCGTTAAGGAACATGAATTCCCTGGGTGTTTTTCATTGCAGTTCAAGTAAGCTAAGTACTGTCTGTTGCAAAGGGTTTTTTCCTGTTCTGTGTTGCCAAGAGGTATTCCAAATGGCTATAATGAGCCTTTCGAAGAATGCCACAGGAATTTACCAAAGTACCTTATCTACATGCCTTTTATTGTGTTTTCTAATATTTTTCTAATACTTGAACTTTGTTATATTATAGTCTTAAAATCTGACTAAAGAAATATCTGGATGCTGTTTGTAAAACTATAAAATATTTCTGAAATTCTAGCAGAAAACAGCATTTAATTTTTGTGGAGGTGATTAGATAAAACTCCTAGAAAAAAATACTGAATTTAACCTTCCTGGCAATTTACCAAACTGATTACAAGGTACTGAACTCTTCACTCTTAGCGAAGGTACTGAACAAACCGATTACAAGGTACTGAACTCTTAGTGGTCTTTCTTCAGAAGTGTTTTGTTATGGCTTTACAGGTTTGCTGTAATATTGAAAGCATAAAACATAAATTCAAATCTTTCCTCTTTTTCCAGCTTCCCATCGATTATATTTACAAAATGGATCAAATTACATCTGAAATCTGTTGAAATTTGCATTTTTGTGCTTTCATAAAAACAGGGAACCACCACTGGAAATTGAGCTGTGGATGCTAACTTGTGAATTATGCTTTCTTTTTAACTCAGACTGTACAACAAAACAAGGAAACAGAAGTATTTCCTCAGCCAAAGACTTCGTCTAAAGCAAGTCAAGTAAGTTAATAAGTACCTCTACTAATTGTTTGGTTTGTTTTGTTGTTTGTTTGTTTGTTTGTTTGTTTTTTAAAGGGGGGGTAAAGCTGTGGTATGCAGTTGGTATCTCAAATAGTCATTGCGCACTGACCATATTTAAAGTGCTGTTATGAAGCAGAAACAAGCTGTACTGAAGCAAGGGGGAGTTTCTGCAGACTGCTATGAATGAGTATGCTTTTTTGTTGTACAGTGCCTCTTATTGTTGGTGCTAATGCAGAAATGAGAATATATTTTTGGATCTGCAATCTTGCATTGGTTTTTGCACCATTTCAACTGTTTTTTTTATCTTGTAAGCAAGCAGTACTAATGCTATAATATTGCAGTAGGGTCTATTAGCCTTAGCCTAACCTTAAGCACCCCAGAGGCATAAAATGCAATCCTTGCCTTACTGTCTCTTTCGGTTTTCCTGAGATACCTTGTATTTTATGAAAAAGATACCAAGCTGAAAAAATGGAAGACAGAGGAAGAAAAGAGTAAAAAGCATTTGTTACTGCAAAACTTTCTAATAGCAAGTTTTAGTGATCTAAATACAGATTTAACATTATTAGAACTGCCTTTGAATAATAGTTCAAAATAATGTCAATACAAAATTTCAGGTTGCAGTTAAAAAAATAATTGGTAGTAGTCAAGTCTTCAAGAATTGTTTCTAATTACATTTTTGTTATGTATTCTTTTCAGGATACCATTTGTAATTTAATTTTACTTTTCCTTTACCCACTGCCTCCTTTTTCAAATCTGTTAAATTGTCTCATTCTTGTCCAACTTGCACTACATAAAAGCTGTTCTAGTAGCATGCCCAGATCTGATTGTGAAGGCAGTAAAAATGGTCCTGCTTAAAGTAAAATGCTGTTTTAGCTACTGGCCTGCTATAAGACAAGCTATACAGTCTGTTCATGACACAGTTAGTAAATAATTATCTAAATAAAAGCATTTCACATTGATTTTTTGTATTTTAAGAAACGTGTGCATGTTGTGTGGTAAACTGCATTTGTTGGTTTAAACACGTTGTCTTCAGCTGAAATCCCACACTGTAAGTCTTCACAGTTTTGACTATAACAAAATCAATTTGCTAGTTCTAATGTTGATGTTGTTATATACGCGTTAACTTTAGATGGCTTTGAAGTTGTTTTTCTTCTGAAGATTTTTGATTATCCAAGAGGAACTCTTTCTGCTGACGTATCAAACATATTTTCATATCACATTTAGTCTTGCTTTCTTTTGAGTGAGATTGGCTTTTTTTTTTTTTTTTTTTTTTTTTTTTTTTTTTTCACCATATTGGTCATTCTGGAAGCCTGAGCAAGGTGTACATTATCCTACTGAATAATAATTGCAGTTATCAGGAGATGTCAGAGTTGCTCAAAGCTGATGTTTATTCACATTAATTTTCTGCAAAGATAATATTCCTATACGTTTGCAATTTATGTTTAAAAGGAAAAGTGATAAAGGTAGTGTGTGGATTTCTGTAATGAAATGGAGACTGACCTGTGGAAGAATGAGGTGGGAAGATGGTCCTCAAAATACTCCCGTCCCCTCAAGGGAAAATGTACTTAAAATGAGAATATTTCAGTGTATTCCAATGCTTTAATTATAGTTTATCAGTTATTTAAAATACCCTTGAGATACTTTACTTCAAATTATAAGTGTATTTCTTGGAGACCATAGAAGCGGGGGGGGGTGGGAAGCAGGACTAGGCTTTCAGTAAACTCCTGAGGAAAATAATAATTTGCAAAACAACTAGAGGCTCCTTCGATTACCTAGGTGAAAAGTTCATCTTTTATTCTATGTGTTATGTTTCAAAAATTCTGGGAGGTAGCAACCACATGGGGAGGAAGGAGTCTGCATACTAGAATATTGAAGACTGTTACCTTCTTCAGCTTTTAAACTGACAATTACTATTGATATTAACCTTCATAGGTAGATATCTCTTCATTAAGAACAGCTATTCTCTAATATCAGACTGAATAATAGTGGCTACAATTTATTTAATTTTTTATGCTCATCTCTCCAGCCTTTATAACAGTATTCATTCCTACTGGACATGGTGCTTATTAATTTTCTGTTCTTTTACAGGTTGCACCTCCGCAGTTTGTTACAGCCACAACTACAGTAACGCCTTCAATCCTCTTGTCTCCTAGTGTTTTTCAGCAATCATCTACAAAAGCTACTGAAGTGGAGAATAAAGCCAATTCTTCTTCGCCTTTAACACTTGGAACAACAGAAATTCAGACTATACCTCCTACTGTTCTCAGTAGGTCTCAGCTTCAAGAAGCACTGATACATCTAATAAAGGTCCTGTCTTTACAGAGCTCAATTTCTGAGGGATGGGATTCCAAGTACAGTAGCCAGTACTGAGAAATTCTGTACCCCTAAAACTCCTTTTGCCCTGAAACATTACAGAAGTTGTTCTTTCTGTTGGAAGGGGTAGATTACTCCACACTGTACACATAGTATGGCACAGCTTGCTCCTTTTGGTTGTGAGATGGAGGACTTAGAAGGACAGAGCTGTACATCAGCTGTGTCCTTTCACATCCATATGAATTTGTGGACAAGTGAGGAAAAAGTTGCACTAGTAGAAGCCCCGGTATGGGGATGGGGGGGTTGATCTTGTTGTCTTTGTAAATGTTCCTGCTTTTCCAAGGAAAGCTTTCCTGTTTCCAGTTCCCTAGAACTGTTCCTGATCTTTAACTGACGTATGTGTCTTTGAAATGGAAATTGCAAAGTTCTAGTTCTGCTATTTCTAAGGACTAAAAAGTTCAGTTGAATTAAATCTGTGACGTGGGAGTAGCAATGCAGTGAGATCATTTTGACCTCTAATGTCATGGTGAAGTTGCCACGAATGACAAACTGTTTTTTATTAACTCAGGATTCTCTTGCCTCCATGCTGATGTCAGTAGAGCTTACACCCAAAATGCAAGTCTAAAAATAGCAAACAATATCGTCCCAGCGATAAAGTTGTTAGGACCAAAAAGGCTGCTACCAGATCACATCATCAGCTGGGTTGCAGGATTTATCTATATTGTTCCTTTTTGCATAACATTTTTGTGTATTGGTGTGTATGGGTTTTTTTTCTCTTTGAAGACTTAAACTAGCTTACTTGTAAGTCTTGCAACTGAGCTGAACTGCCAGAAGTCTTATTCTCATTAGAGGCATTGTGCACTGATTCTCACCCAGTAGTCTGAAGAACATAATTGTGGTGACTTTACAGAGCTGATTGGAATATTTGTCTCTAATCTTCTGTTTATATAGAGAGAGAGCTGAATGAAGACCAAAACAGGCATACCCTGCAGCATGGGAGTACTTGCACAGCACTCCAAGCAGGATACCAAATTTGCTATGCAGATCTTGTAAAAAGAATATTACATCTTCAAGCTAGATGATTAGATACCAATTTTGTAAACTTGTCATTTAAAGGAATTAGACTCAGGAAATATTACTAAATATTGTCTATAGATTAAACAAATTCACTTTCCATAATGCTTTGACGTGAGAATTCTCGTATAACACACTGCAATCCCTTTCAGGCTGGTCTGACAGACAAAAATAACATTATTTCTGACACCCACGCAGACTTTATTAGGGAGCCTGTACACAGGGTGGAATTCTCTGTGTCCAAGACTAAGGTTTGGACTCTAGAGGGAAGTAACTATGTGGCCAAGGCTGACCTAGTGACCCCTGTTTTGTTTGTTTGAGTGATCCAGTGTGTTTAGTGATCCCTTTAGCTATCTTACCAGCATCATGGTTCAAAGTCTGTATGTTGTCTAAAAAGCACTGCCTTTTGTACAAGTACACAGCTAGTTTCCTTCTCTTAACTCTCAGGTAGCTAGCACTATCAGGAATATTTATGCACAACTTAAATAGCATTAAATTAAACTTTTTGTGTCTTTTTACTAATGTTTCTAATATGTTTTTTTTTTTTTTCCTGCAGAATGATTCCCATTTTCTCAGCACTATTCATGAAGTCTACTTGCAAGTCCTAACCAAGAATACAGACAACATTAAACTATAATGGAAGCTAAATCTACTTAAAATATATCCATTTTAGAAACAGTTATGCCTCGTCTATAAAACTAATATTTTTGTAAAAGAATATTTAGTTTTCAACTTCTTGAATTTGAACCTGTTAGGAAAGACTATTCCTTAGATACTTATGAAAGTAATGTTCTCAGAAGTGATCTAGGTTTTCACTGTGATCATCACCAGCAAACCTTTGTTTGTATTGGGGAGGGGACTTAAGTTGCATTTGAGCTCTCATTAGCATTAAGTGAATGTGCAAATGTTTGCTCTGGCTTTCATTCCTAGCTGTATTCACTGTTCAAGATTACAGACTCAATACTATTTAAACCAGCAAATACATAGTACAGTACACTACACCACACCAGAACAAAATTCAGTTGTGGGAAGCTAGTTCCAGTTTGAAGGACTGAGGGAAAGGAGAGCAAAATGCCTTGTGATTAAGTTGGCAGGTGTGGGGAAGGAACTGATCTGGAAGCCAGGCCTTTGGAGCTAAATCTTTAACAAAAGGTTTAAAAATGTGATTTGCTCAATACATTGATGGTCTCTAGCTAATGCACATTAATGGAATATTTAAAGGATTTAATTTATCGTATTTGCTTCTGCATCGCTGACATTAAACAGGTATCCAAGTGAGTAAGGCCATTTTCTCTAAAAACACGAAATTTGAAATATGCAAAATCCTCAGTGATTGTGTCATTATTTTTTTTTTTTTTTAAGCAACAGAGTAGTTCTGTTGCATGTTGCAAGTTCTCTTGTTTTAAATTTATAGTTAGGAGACCACCACTGGAAGACCCTCTTCCTGTTCAGCAGTGTTTGATATAATTTAAATACTTTGTTTCCCTTTTAGCTTAAGGGTGGACCATGTCATAGTTGGCTTTCGTTTTGTTGGAACTGCAGTGTTGAAAACTATGCAGATGGGGAACAAATGCATGCCTGCGTTCTGTTGCCCTCTCCCCAGATTGTTAGTGCACACTTCATAGTCTGAAGTTCATCTAATTAAAATGTTATTGCTTCTTATTTGTGATTTAATAATTCACTGTTCACTAATGTAAGAATTTAACTGGATACTTTCCCATTTGAAATCAGAAAATTTCTAATTATAGTTTTTTAAGCTGCTGTGTTGGTTTACTCATGGCTTGTATTTATTTCTGAAAGGCATGCAAAGGTAATTAAGACTTCAGGTCCCAACTTTCTCCAGCAATAGTAGTTTTAAAGGATGCTTTTCCAGTAGAAAAGTTTTGGTTTATTGAGTAAAAAGATAATCTGTAGTGAGTTTATGATGCACTGCTTCTTTCTTTTCCCTCAAGCACTATTGAAATATGAAGAAGAAAATTGTTTGGGTCCTTACAACATATATGTATGTGTATATATATATCCTAAGGATTAGTTAATGTTGACGTAGTCAAGGTGCATGGTCATTTCATTGGAAACTAGTAATTGAGCTTTAATTGTGACTTGTTTACAAATCGGTATGTTTTAGATACAACAAATATTTACATTTTTATGTATTTGATCTATTTTAGTTTTTTCATAGCTTTTTAGTGGAATATATATTTTGTTTAGCACTACCTGCCTTCTGAAAAGCTCTTCTCAGCCTTTGAGTTCAGTGTTTCCAGTTAAAATATATAGTATTTTGTTAGAAAAATGTGCAAGATTCAGGGAAAGATGCTAATGTCATGTACATTCATCAAGAAATATATTGGCTTTAATGGTAGCATTTGAATTCAGCAATATAAACTCAGCCTTGTTAAGGAAGATATGAGCTTCCTACATAAATTCTAGAGTTATAATACTGTGTATGCACATAAATAATAAGACTCAAATTAGATCTAATGTCTAAACTAATTTGTTTTGTTGGGTTTTTTAGAAAAAGTTTCACTAAAAGGGTCAAACCAATGAGCAGTTCCTCTGAACAAAAATGGATAGCCTAAACCAAATAGAGAGTTGCTTCTTATCTGGATTTAGCAAGGATGAAGTCCGTAACTTCTCACTTCTTATGGACAGCTTCTGGTTTCTTCAGAGGAAGAGTTGATAAAAGTTCTAAGAATAGAAATATTGGAAGCCGATAGTGCATATTTGTACTGTTTGCTAAATACAGTCATATCCAAAGATCTATAGAAATGATAGGAAGGAGTTGTATTTTGAGTTCTTCAGTCCTATACAGTTGACAAAAGTAATACTGTTTAGAGTAGTTATGCTGTTGTTTGACTCTACTTTGAATATCCTTAACTTGTTTCCAGCTGTCCAGGAACCCCCACACCAGTTGGCAGATCCTTACTTTACTTTGGTTTGTAGTGTACTAGTAGCAATACATTATTGGTTTACTTTCCTCCCACCCCCAACTTCCAGAATGAATTGGAAGAGAAACAGAGTTGAAATCCTAGTTACTAGGCAGGCTTTTTTACAACAAGCAAACCTGTTCATCTTGAACACCTGCACGTTTGTTCTAACCTCTCTACGTGTAGCCAACAGACACTGGAACCAACCTAGGTGTCATCCAATACACCGCAGAGATTTAAGACAAGTGCCAGGGTAGTGGGTTTAACAGATAAACCTCTTTAATGAAAAGTTGCATTCTAAAACATAAGCTCAACTACAATGTAAAATTTGAATTTTTTTAAATGTGGACTGTTTTATTTAACAACTTTTTCTCCTGATTATTTTTTTTTTTTTGTCTAAATCTAAAATAACCAGCTTGTCAAAAGTGCTTGATTTGGATGTTATCTGCATGTAGGGATAACTAGTGTGTAGCAAGTTACCATGGGTTGTCACAGGAAAGTATTGTGACCATTTTCAAGTGATTTTTTTTTTTTTTAAACTACTGGCTTAATGGGATTTTACCTATTAGTTCTGAGAATTAAAAGATTATTAGTTTATAGACTATACTCCCCAAATTAATTGTATTATCTAAGCATGTGTTTTGTGGCTAGTGCTAATTCACTTTAAAAAAAAAAAAACAAAAAAAAACAAAAAAACACAAACCTAATCAAAGACATTTTTAAAACCTACAGCTGCTGAATTGTTCAGGAAAATCAAAATTCTCAGTTTTGTAGTTAGACTTTATCTGCTGTTATTTAACAATGCAAAGTTTATATGAAAGGTGCCTAACAGCTATTAACTTAGAAGCAGTATATCTTTCCAAATCACACAACGTTTTCAGAATGATTGAATAAAGTTAAAAAAAATTTAAGTGATTCATCTTGATTTCATATAAAATGTTTAATTCTATGTATAAATACTCAATATAATATTTAAACACTCGCTGCTGGATGCATCTCATTTTTGCTTGCATTTCTAATTGCTTCATTTTGGTATATTCCTGAAACTCATGCCATGTGTAGTCACTGATATAATTTCTGAAATATTTTGAAAACAAACTTTAATTTGGGACTTCTTGTTTTTAAAAGTATTCTAAACAAATCAGCCACCTTTTTGCCAGGTATTTGGGTTGCTTTGTACAGCATATCTTAACAGGAGGACTGTGTGCAATATATATCACCTCAGTTTTGTCTGGCAACGTTACGAAAATGTTAAGATGCAATATCTTCCTTTCACTTCAAGTTGGAAAAATTGCAGTATCTCTGATTTGGTGGTGTATTTATTTTTATCTATTCAGTGTATGGGCATATGGTTGGTTAGGTTTTTTTATGTGCATTATGTGCTTTTAGTAATTTCTGAGTTTTATCACTTCTGTGGATGCACCAGTTGTACCCATGTGCATGTTCTTTCAATATGAAGACTATGGGGAAGGGGGAGCTTCTGGAAAGATTTCTGGAAACCAGAATGAGAATAACTGTAAGTCAATAAATGTAGATACTGCATCATTAACGTTTTTGGTATGGTATGGATTTTATAGCACCTATGTATGTTTGCAGTTATTAAGTTATTGCATAAATGTTTAAGAAAGCATTTTTTCATCCAAAATTTTGTATGTTTGCAAATATATTTTTGTAATAAAATTTCAAAACAAATGTTTCAGCACCTCCTAAAATCTTCCAATGTTTGCTTTTATTTCTAGAGCTCTAGTAGCCTGCTAGAAGGGTAGTTCAGATTTTATTTAGGGTTAATATTTTCCAAAGAAGAAACTCAAACTCCTTACTTCATGCTGGGGGCAAAACCAAATTGCATTTGTTCACTGAAGAAAATGCAGCATGCCTGCTTGAAGGATAGTTGAGAATAGCCTCCATCACTTTTAACAGCTTTTGGTTTTCCTCTGTATTGCTGTAAGTAGGATTACATTTTGAATTCGATAAACAGACCAATTTCCTGTCACGTTAAGAAATGCAGCTGCAAGTTCATGGTCTTACAAGTACAGCTGTAACTGGTTTTAGTGCATTTCTTTTTTTTTTTTTTTTTTTTTTTTTTTTTATGGTATCCCCTCTCATCCTTCTAGACATGGCATATGATACTCAATCCAGTGCTGGTCTTTGATCATAGACGTTGGAAATTGCAGTTGTACTCTTACCGTATCTGATTGGCATCATGCAACTGATCGATCCAAATTCACAAAGTAAAATAGGGAAGCTAATGAGGAAGAAAACCATAGCAGAAGTTCTGTTGGAATAGATCTTGAAATTAAACAAAACCTTATGCCAAAGTTCCTTAACCTTAGCTAGATGCTTATTCCCATTCTAACTACCCATAAGAGTTAGAGATTGCGAGGTATACCGAATGTCAGGAGAGGCCACTGAATAATGGTGTTTGCTGCTCTAGTAGTTAATATTGAACTGGCTCCTGTACTGTATACAAAAGCAGAGTCTTCTAATAGAAGACTACCATACAAAACAAGTACAGAAGTCATGAATTTACTGTAAGATAATTGAGAAAAAGTGGAAACAGCTAAGGCCTAGAATCTAACTTTAAATTCTATGTTGGATGTGTTGCTTGTTTGGTCAATATTGAGGAGTTATTTTTTTCATTGTTGATGTTTTTAACCTTTTTGTCTTCTCTGGATCCAGGTATTTCTGGTTATTGTTATTCCTATGAAGTGCT